GGTTAAATCTGGAAGGTGGACTCTGAAGATTCAAAGGCCCAAATGCTCTCAAGATCATCCTCCACTCTAGAGCACCTCAGGACTTTCCTCAGAGAGATTACTTAGTCCCTCAGCCAGAGTCTTGAAAACCTCAGCTTACTTCCAGGACATCTTGGCACCCTCTGGGCTGACAGCGGAAGCCATGTCCGTACCGTCGGGGCTGGTGGCAGGCACTTTCACCTCCAGCCAGTTCACTGATCCCAGCCCCATTTCTTAAAAAGCACCCGTCTCTCCTGCTGCCGGGGTGTGGGGGGGGGAGGGACACATGTTAAAGTTTTAAGGCTTTCACTCTGTGACTTACACTCAGAGAGACCTGGGGAGAGCCTGCCCAAATGAAGACGCAGGGCTTCTCCTTCAAGACGTCAGGAGTTCCGAGGACAGAGGACCGAGATCTAGCTCAGTGGCAGAGTGATTGCCTACCACGCACTGGGCTTGAGTAAAGCCTGTGTTTGGGGCTGAGGATAAGTTCAAGCTGCAAAGAGCAAAATACTGAATCTCATACAGAGCTTTGAGAGACAGTCTTGCATCCAAGCCATACTTTGGGAAGCCATCTTTATATGGACGTATGAATTCTGACTTCTGTGAAAGAATGCCAAGTATTTGCAAGGATTCATGAGCCATGACAGGCAGATATGCTGTTCTCACAGAAGCACAGTTGACTGAACTCCGTAGAGTGGCAAAGACGCAGGAGGAGCACCGGTGTGCTTTCACGTTTTATCAGAGCCTCTGCACCCGCTGGATTTCTCATGTCAGAGAGAACCACAGAAGGGGCTGCAAGTCTGCGAGCGCACAGCAGGCAGATGAGCGGCACACGGAAGTGCTCCCTGCACCAGAGGCGTTAGGAGGCAAGAGATAAGCGAGGAGACGTAGAAGGGTTTGCTGCCCAAAACTGGTTGTCACTCAGCCTTCATCCACTCTGCCAATCACTGTTGTCTCAAAGTCCAGCAGAGCCTTGGTGTGAAGGCCATCCTTCACCCAGGCCGTTATCAGCCTGGCCCCTCCCATCCTGCACCACCATTTCAGGTTAATCCCTGCTGGTGACAAAACACTCCGACCCAGACGCTTGAGGGAAGAAACAGTTTATTTCATCTTTTTGCCCAGCCCATCATTGAGAAAACTCAGGGCAGAAACACAAGCAGGCATTTGGATCCCAAATCCCAGAGAAAGGCTGCTTGCTGGCTCAGTCAGGGTCAGGCCTAAGGAACAGCAAGTGCCCAGGGAGTGTGGCCCTCCACAGTGGGATGGGCCCTCGGGGTTAGGGTGATGCCATGCCCGAGGCCCCTCTGCCAGTGGGCCTTGAGGTGTAAACGCGGAGGGTTACCCTGCAGACACTGCAGAGTTTACAGGCGTGTCAAGGAATGCAGGCGGCGCCCCTCAAGCTGATGCGGGCTTCAAAGGCAGCGAACCACACAGCACACTCACATGCTTCCAGACCTCAACAGATCCTCTCCCACCGCAAACACTCTTACCTAGGTGCAGGGCACGTTGACATCATCTGCATGTCTGTGTACATCCTGGCAGACTGTATATAGAACATGCACATGTGTGCACATGTATGTGAAATAGGCACATATTTATACGCACATATGAACGTGGGCACACACAGGAGACAAGGTGAAAAATACACACATGCACATACATACACCTTTAGCGTAACTGAACTTTATTAAAGCAGCTGCTGGGCCTCAGCCCTAGCTGAGTGTCCCCAGTTCCAAGGAGCTCACCATTCAGTGAGGATACAAGCTGAAAACCCCATGCCCCAGCCCATGAGCAGGGGGCAGGATGTCTTCTGGAGGTCTAAACGAGAGAAGCCCATGATGGACTTGACCCACGCTAACTCAGGTCTCAACTTCACTGCCTGGAAACCACGCCACATCCAGCACGTCCCTGGAGCTGCAGAGCCCCTTTCATTAAACTAGCTACAACAGCGCCTTCTTCATGGTGTGACGCTTACAGAACACAACACCAGAAGCCCTTACACTTTGGACTGCAGAAGGCACTCAGTAAAATGAGCTCTCATCATTGGTATCATTGTTAGTTATCGTTATTGAGAAGAACATGAAGCTCGAGTGGGCACAAAGGCAGAAAGGCCAGTCTCACTTGGGAGGCTTTAGGAGGAGCTCTGTGGATGTGGTGTGGAGTTGAATCTTTCCTAGAAACAGATGTTTGTGAGAAGAACAAAAGGCAGGGAGGGCAGGCAGTCCAACCGAGTGGAGTCTGCTCACAGGCTCGGACACATGAAACATCCAAACAGGGCCGGGGAATTGCCACATCCAGAGTGGAGGTTCAAGGTCAAAGAGGAAGGAGGGTCAGATGTGGAAAAGACAGTCAAGGGCTGAAGACTGTAATAGTGCACACTGGGTTTGCCTTTCAGAGAGCAAGTGTAATGAACACGATTCCGGCTCTGCAGGGCCCCACCGGGCTGCCCAGGGCGGCAAACGCCACTGCTGCCGACCGCACCGTCCTGTCTCTGTCCATGCACACCACTCGTTTGTTTTAGTTTTCGTAACTAATTAGCTGATTTTTCCACTCTGACTTAGATGCTATAGAGGGTTTTCTTTCCCACTAATCCCTCCCGATGATGTGTAAACACCTATCTTCCTAGCACGAGCAGACTCTTAAGTGGCCACTTTTTTCTGCACTTACAAGAGCCATACAACAATCGCCGGGCCTCGGAGGAGGCTGGCTGCGATCAGAGCTGAGGGTGGAGAGTCAATGGAGGTGGGTGTGGGCGGGGAGGGCAGAGGGGCTCAGGACCGTGCTCAGAGAGAAAGTCACAGAAAGCCTGGGACATAAACAGTTCCCTGGAAAACCGAGTGGCACGATGCAGGTCATCTGAGAGGAGGAGAAAGAGACATGTGCCATGACAGGGTGAGAGAGGTGGTGACGGAGGAGCACCCCAACCTCGGGCACGGCAAACAAAGAGAACTGCTGGAATAAGGCCCGGTTGGTTTCCTCACGTTTCGCCCTGAGCACGCCTATCAGACAATCCTGCCCGCTTTCTTTGTTCACATGCGCTGAGTACTTTCTGAGCCAGGCTCTGAAGAGGCCCAACTCAGCAAGGTCCAGTCTCTGACTAGAGGCTGGGAATCAGCTTGTCCCACAGAACGACATGTAACCTTCAGCCATGGAGGACTAGGGAAGACACAGGGCCTCAGCCCAGATGTGCTGATGTAAGCCGTCTGTTTAACCTTTGCAACCCTCTTCTGACAACAAACCATCAGGCCTGGAAGGCCGTTCTTCAGGCCCCAGTTCTCGCGGTGCAATATGAGAGCGAGCAGGTGCAGCAGCTGGGAAGGGAGAGTCGTCGAGGGAAGTTGGAGACACCACCCTCACACACCCCTTCCCACCTCAGGCCTGTGGCTCTAGTCTGGACTTCTCATAAAGCATTGATTTTCCAGCTCAGTCTCCCTGTAACGTGGCCCTGCCCCCAAGTGTCCATGAATTATCCTGCCACTGTGCCACAGACCCAGGAATGTGCTTCAAGTGTGCACGTGTGTTCACCTGCACTCCCGTGCTTCTGTGTTCACTTCATAAGCCGCTAGGGAGGGGACACAGACTCAGACCTGGGACCCAGATGTCCCGCCCTGTGGAGGGGCCATCTGGGGGCAGTGGTCACTGCAGTCAGGGGCACCCGCACCAGCGACAGTTAGCTTGTTTTCTTATGAAAACAAAACAGAACAACCAAGATCATCTTATCGACCTACAAGTTTACTTTAGGAGCAACTGAGAAATTCAGAAAGCATGCCTGGAAGGGTGAGGGCAGCATGAAGAGCAGCAGCTTCCTAATCTCCTCAGTCCCCTGCCTCTCAACCTGCCGTTTGCTCTTGAAAAACCACACCGGCAAATAACTAAGCAGGCACCTGCTATGTGCCAGAACAATCCAGCCCACGGAAGCCGGCAAGGACTGTTGCCAGTCTGTCTTCCTTTCAACATCTAGAGCAGCGTCCACCGCTGTCTCTCCTTAAACAGTTTTCCTGGTAGCGATCTTTAATGCTTGCGGAGCTTTCTGTGACAATTTCTGGTTTTGTTTTCTACTCATTATTGTTTGCTATCCAGAGCACTTTTCTTATTCTTTTCTCTGATTTTTAGGGAAGGGGGAAAATCCAGCATCTGGGCTCTGGGACCACTTGAAACCACTGGGCTGGGACTGCTAACGACCTCCCAGAGATAATCCAAATGGCTGAATTAGCAAAGCTCATTCTTGACCTTGACACAAGACAAGACAGGCAAAGGGGAAGGACTCAGGAGGGCAGAGAGAAAGAAAAGGATCATAGAGGCTCACTCAGATCTCGCCAGGCCCCTCCCCCATTCAGCAAACACCTGGCTGAGTTGGAAAACATGACCGCCCAACCTTCCTCCCGGCAGCAATTGAAGCTGTCAGCTCCCGCTTGTCACCAGTTGCACTGGAAGCCTGGGGCAGCCACAAGAGCCCTAATTAGGCAGAAATGACACTTCTACAACTGACCTGCCAGGACCTTTGGCGGACCATTTAACATCATTAGTTAACATTTTTAAAAAGTGTGAATGTAAATGAACAGCCAGTGGCTTTCAATGGAGTCTGTGGTGGCACCCTTCCCCCTTTCTCCTTTTACATGAATAGCCCACTTGTTTTCTCTGGAATTGGAGGGAGGCATGAGGAAGGAGGGGCTTGAAGACCATCTTCACAAATGAGCCTGGAATGCCAGAGGGGCCATGTCTTCTTGCCTGCATATGGCACTAAATACAGCCCGTCTCCAGGGCCACCAGCGTGGAGCTTGGAGACAGCACCGGCCCAGCAGGACCCACAGAAACCAGGCCAGCTCTGACCAGTGAGCAGGGCCACACTCCCCATGAACACTGTCCTCAACCGTCCTCTCTGTGCAATTCCCCGTGTTCCTGCTCCCTCTCAAGAGGGATGGGGTGGGGGAGCCATCGCTGCAGAGGCCCGGTCAATACTCACACCCGAGCTCATGCCCTACCTGCTGCTGTTCTTTCCCGCCTCGACTCACACTTCGCTCTGCTCTTTCCTTTGCACCCACAGAATCCGTACACGCCGACACTCTCCATCTGCAGGAGGGAAGAAAGTTTCACTGTGAACACTTCATGTGCTGTGGCTCCTCAGCCACACACTCCCGCTGGCGGGCAGTCTGAGGAGAAGCTAGTTGGGAGGAGAGATGGCAGAGGGGCTTGGCTCTGGGCCTACCTTGGCACCCACTACCTCCTTGCTGTGTGGTCTTGCGAGAGTGCTTAGTCCAGAGTCTCAGATGTTTTCATCTGTAAGACAGAAAACGCCTCGCTGCATCACGGAAGAAACAATAGGACGGAAGGAAGTTCCGTGAACTCGGGGAACTTGTATCTAATGTCAGGACTTATGGCAGGATGAGCTGCCCAAGCAAGGAGCCACACCAGCTTCTTGTCCCTCACTTTTCTTGGTGGACAAAGTCAAAATAAATTAAAAAAAAAAAAGATTTATTTATTATTTATAGTGTTCTGCCTGCATGTACGCCTGTGTGCCAGAAGAGGGCACCAGATCTCACTATAGATGGTAATGAGCCACCGTGTGGTTGCTGGATATTGAACTCAGGACCTTTGGAAGACCAGCCAGTGCTCTTAACCTCTGAGCCATCTCTCCAGACCCCTAAGTCAAAAACTTGTCTGTTTCCCAAGGCACACTGCCGGCGACCAGTGTACTTCTTGGTCCCCAGGTCCCTTCTTGGCCTCCCCCACCCTGCTCAGTATTCTCAAAAGGGTACCCAGATGGAAAGCGGCTCCCACAAAGCCATGGATAGCTCCGTTATTTATTCCCTCTTCCAGCCCCCAACAAGGTATGGCCAGGAAGCAGACCTCATCTTCTGTGCTCCAGGGAGCTCTGAGAACAGTGGTTCACAGGAGGTGTGTGGGTAATGAATGCGTGGTGGGATGCAGGATCCCCCCTTGGGGGGGATGGGTGCTGGGTGCATTGTGAGCAGGAGAGCCTGTCTCTTTGCTAAGGATGAGTAAAGTCAAGCAAGCAGTGTGCGGTAGAGAGATGAGGATCTGTGAGGCACAACAAACGGAAAACGTCTTAGGGTGGGGGCACAAAGACAGAAGAGACTGGGGCGTTCTTAGTAATGGTCAGGGGAGAGGGAGGCAGCAGTTACTACTTTTAAGCTAAATACCTCGGCATATTGAGCACAGGGAGAAGAGCCAGCTAACAAGCCGCCATGGCTGACGCCCTCTGAGCTCAGCCTGCAGGAGGGGTGGCCGGCCCCTTCCCCATCACATGCCTGGGCCCAGCCCCGAGGCTGCTGTGGCACTCCTCTCCAGCTGTGGGGCTTATTGAAAGCCTCTAGCCACCCCTCCCCCCCAGCTTGGTTCTGGCACATTTGCTGCAGGTGCCTCCTACTGTGGCCACAATGGACTCACGAGGTTTAGACCCCAGCAGCTACAGCAGGGGCAGGGAGGGAGTGCGGCCATTGTCTTAAAGGGCCAGTGGCGCTGTGTGCCACTATGGCTGCGTCCATAGCTCTGGGACTGCTAAGGAGATGAACCCCTTCTCTCCACTCCATCTTTCTCTCTAATGATTTAACTTGATCGCTTTGGTTCCTTTCTGGAAAGGGAATTGCTCCATTGATCATATCAAGTAATTGCCTGTAAAACATTACACTGTAGCAAGCACAGCCGCTTCCCGGTCTGAAAATGTCACAGCAATTGAAAAGCTCTTAGCCCAGTTGAGGAACAATAAGGCCAAGGAGAAGGGCTCTGCATATAACCCAAGAGCCCCTGTGGTTGGAGATGGGACCCATCAGATTTCAGACAGAATCTCCCTCTTGTTGCCTCATGATTTCTGTATCCGAAACAAAACCCAAACATCCTTAACCGTAAAATTAACTATAACCAGACAAGTTATTTTCCTAATGAATCAGGATATTCTTAGTCCAGGTGCAGCCTGCGGTGGAAGGGAGGAGAGCCAAGAAGGTGGGAGGGAGGAGAGCCTCGCCCGCCCCAGTTTGGGAAGGAAGAATAGCTGTTTCTGGCTTGTCACTTGGCAGCAGCAGTGACACCCTGTGGGCTTGGGACCACACACTTGAATTTTCACAAACAGCTTTATTAAATAAGCTTCACCATGCTGAGAAGCAGAAGTAATTCACCTGGGAGGGGGGGGGGCACGAACCTCCCAGCTAAACAGACAGGAAACTTGTTAGTGACCGTTCCCTTTCCTGGACAGGTGAGAGCCCACGCTTGCGTGCTGCTGGACAGGAGTGCCCTTGTGAGGCGCCCGAGAATGGAGCATCCCGGAGCATCCCCGCCTAGCCTTTCTCCACGCACCGGGGCTCTTTTGCAGCCCATGAGACAAGGCAGTAGGTACGCTCACTGCTGCGCCATTGGTAAAGGCAGAGCGCCTGCCGGCGTCCTGACAAGAGTCTGGCACTCCAAGCCAGGAGAAGACCACTTACAAGCTCAACTCTGAAAAAGGCAGAGGACACTGCACACCAGAGCCCGGCGCCCTCACTGTAGACAGGGAAACAATCTTCGACTGTGGAGAATGAGGTGGGAGGCCACTGGACGAACCTTAGCATTTATTTATGTTTATAGTAAAAGGTATTTTAGAGATGGGTGTGATGGTGCACCCCTTGAATCCCAGTACCAAAGAGGTTTGCAGGCCATCTCTGCGAGTTTGAGGACAGCCTGATTTACACAGCGAGTTCCAGGCCAGCTAGAGCTATATGGTGAGAGTCTATCTCAAAAACTGTTTAAACTGTTGTCAGCAAAATGAGACAATTATATACACATATAACTGATGATCAGCCTGGAACTAGATAAATATGCTTGTGCTCAAGGTTCTGTCTGACTTGAAGACTTTTGTCTCTCACTCACCATGACTGAGCACGTTGAGAGACAGCTAGGTGGTAAGTGTCAGGCAGCGGCCTCCCGAAGCTCTGCCTGTGGAACGTGTGCGGTCAGGGAAGCAGACTGAGGCTGCCCCACCCCCGGACAGGGGGCCTCGATGCGTGGGGCAGAAACCCAACCCCCATGCCCAAAGAACAGGACAGAATGCAGGCTGGGCGCGTGCCCAGACCCCTCCGCTGTCTGGGTGGGGTGGGATCCAGGAGAGGGCCAGCCTGTGCTGGTGCTCCGGCCGCCTGTGTCCTTCATATGAACTTCAGTGTGTGTGTGTGTGTGTGTGCGTGCCCTAGTGTGTGTTGGGAGGGTTATATGGTTTCACTGTGTTTCTGGAAGGGATTTAAGAAGACTATCTAGGAGGAGCAAAACAAGTCCAAAGGCACGGAACGCAGAGACTGCCAGTAGGCAGCAGATTGCTGCCATCTCCCTGCTGTGTGCGTGACACAGCAGTGAGACCAGAATCCCGTGTGCAAAGATTTCCAGCTTGCTTCTCATGGGACCTCCCCAGCATATCTTAAGCAGCCTGACGCATGCGGTATAAAGTAACCTTCAGCTACATCCAACAAAGTTTATAGAGCGTCTGGGCATGCGTGTATTAGTGTTGCCATGTCCTCACCTACGCTTGTCCAAATGAGTAATCGAACACACAGCAGTGAGACCCCGGGCTCATCTGCGGCTGGGCTGGAGTTATTCCTGGGGTTCTTTCAAATTCAGACTTGTGAAAGCCACAGACACCTCAGGCTGAGCCTATAAACTCTGTATCTCAACCTCTGTACTGTGAACCTTAGCCACCGACGGTGACCAGAAACATGTGGTCAGGCCCTGTCAACTCAGCTGGCCTCCAGCCACGCCCGGCCCCTGCTGAAGGTTTCGAGTTTTCACCCTGTCACCCTGCTTGAGCCTCATTTGCAGCAGCCGGAGCAGGATCACTGGCCAAGGGAAGGAAGGCCGGCAAGGCCTTGAAGAGTGCAAGAGGGCATGCTCGCTGGATGAGTGTTGGGGGACGTGGGTGGGGAAGTCACACATAGCTGCGCCATGCCCCATTCCCTCCTCCCAGGAGTCGGGGAGCCTGACTGGGCCGAGAGTCCCCTGTTCTGTCCTTTTCCTTTTCGTTTGGTTCAAACCTTGGCCTTCCTCAGGTCCCGGAGTCACGGGCTATTTTAGAATACCCGACGGCAATGGCCACACTGCGGCAGTCTGGACAGTGTGACCAACTCTCTCGATGCCTTATGAATGCCTCCACAGTCTACAGGTGACACGGGTGGCCTGAGGGCAAAGACCCGTGTCTACACAGAACGCACCGTGTCTGTTAGCCCTACAAAACAGATGTGGCGGCTGAACCCTAACCCAGGCGGTTCAAGAAAGTGGGACCTGGCGGAGAAGCAGCGAGGCTCTAGCTGGTGCCAGGACACCCACCTTGTCTTAGCATTAAGAACTGAACAAGAGTGTGAGGAGCTTCAGGCTACCCCGCAGCACCCCGAAGAGAAGGAGAACATGGACACACACACACGGGGTGTGTGTTCCCCCAAACAGAACTCTGCTTTTAAAATTCTCGAGACAGAAAACTTCTTTAGTAGGTGCAGGGTGTGGAGGATGGCTGACAGGGCCCCCCAAACATCCCCACCCTGTGAGGCTCATTTCACGTCCTCTCTTTCCGTGTTCTTCCTGTACTTCAGAGGCCAGACTGAGGCTGCGAACTTGGGAGAAACGTTTCAGTCTCAGCCTCGCTCAGTTTCTCCTTGAAGGATTAGTGGGAACGGCCTTCCCGAGTCAACAGGCCGCCTACGTGGTCATCCCACAGCCGCGCTGCCACGAGACCCCGCCTGCTGTACTAAATTTGAAGAGGAAATTTCATCTAGTGCATTACCTCACTGGAAAAGTGCACAGGGCTCCACAATCATTCTCCTACGACTGGCATATTTGAAAAACATGATTAAATCACTACTGAGAAATAGGCCTCAACCAATTCCATTCACTGAAGTCCTAGAGTTCACTTCCCTAGTCACAATTCTGGGAGAATAACTCCTGTTCCACGTAGGTGGCTGCTAGTCTTTAAAATAATGAAAATACCAGAATTGTTGAGTGTGTGAAGGGGGCAGTACAAAGACAAGTCCAGCCCGGAAGATAAAGCCCGCCCGCACAGCCACTTAGTGATAAGCACAGAATCCCAAGCTTGTGACAAT